ATAATTATTGCCATAACCATTATTTAAAATTGTATGTGCTAATATTTATTTTTATTGAAATTGCGGTTACATTTGTAAAGTCTAACTAAACACCACATAAATCAGCATATTTTTTGAAACCAAAAAACCAAACATTTCACTCTTTATTTTCATTATCTAATCTATAATTATATGTAATTTTATTTAATCGACAAATTCTTTAAACACTCATTAATATCTAGAATTATTTATAATTTATTTCATTATTATGATTTTTTAATTGATTTTGTTAACAATTATGATTTTATGCTTATTTTTATTTGATTATTTTTACCTTATGTTTTGTTTTATTTGTTTTGCACCCAACAGTACCCTCGGTTCCCAATTTTTCTATAAGGCCTCCGATGTTAGATAGAGGTAATGATCGGCCAATAATGTGATGAATGCTTTTAACGACAGAATGCATAAATACTTTTATTAAGCAAACTTTGACACAAAACTAATCAATTTAATTGTGTATTCGCCACGAAATGAAAGGTCGGATTCACTATAAGACGACTTATGCGTGCGAAGGGAATCCATTGCATCTGACCTGCGAAGAGGGCAGTGCTATACATCTGGTTCGCGCCAATTATGGCCGATTCAGTATCAGTATCTGCAACGATGGCGGACGACTCGATCTCAATGTCATCTGCATGTCCTACCGTTCATTCCTCATCATGTCTGACAGGTTTGCCATTCATTTCCCAATTCATTCATTCGTCGTGTGTTGAACAAGAAACAAGTCATTAAACTGATCAATGTGGATTATGTTTTGCAGATGTAGTCAACAGTCCAACTGTAGTGTAATAGTATCGAGTAAGATGTTTGGCGACCCCTGTCCCGGTACACTCAAGTACCTCGAAGTCCAGTATCATTGTGTTCACGGTATGTGTTGTTTTGTATTTGAATCTATCATTATCTGAATGTGTGGTCCGAATATGAATGCGAATTATGTAATCTTTTTTAAATTTAAATCTATAAGCAATGTATTCAAGAATATTAGTCCTAATTAAGAGAATCACTGCCTTTGCGTTTAGGGGGAGACTCAGCCCTCACCACCACTAGGAGACCACCCGTCGTGAATATGCCGTTCCCCTCATCCAGCAATGCATCGCTTGTGTTGCCTCCGGTGTTGGCCACCACTGCATCCTCTGATGACGATCTCATTTCAATTATGAACACAGAGTCTGAAAGTATCCCAAA